TGCTGCTGGCAATTCCATTGCTTGCAAATCCTTCTCCCATAACGCCACTGTGATGGACTGTGCTTTGAAAACTCATAAATGCTGTATAAACATGTGACACATTGTGAAGAGTTCACAATGTGTCACATGTTTATACAACATTTATAATGCCTCACAGAGTCAGAGAGCCTTTGACTGACAGGCTGCTCAAAGGGATTTCATTGGATAATGTTAGTTGAGAAGAAAGAGTTGGGAACAGACTGCTGAAGATAATTTAGTTTATCACTGACTGAGGACTGAGGAGGTGGCAAGGAGAGTGGGAGGATTGCTGAAGACACCCATTCAGGCCAGAAACAGGGACGGAGCTTTTAGTTTAGAGAACTAATTCCCAGCCCATTTGAAAAGGGAGATAGCTCTAAAGAGTGGAGTGATCCCTAGTGTGTTCAGAGGAGGATTTGGGGTACTTGGTAATGTATCCCTGTCTTCTGAAACTTGAAGAGTCTGTTAAATTCAAGAACACATACTGGAGTGCCTAGCAGACACTGAAACCAAAGTCTCTCATCTCAAAGATTCTAAGACTTTGTGAAAAGCTTAAAACTCTGACTTGCTGGAAACTGGAGTCTGTGAAATTACTAAGTTATTTCAGAGTTATTATTGATTCATGTCAGACATTTCACCCCTAATTTCACTTGACCCCCACACACACCTTTATTGGCACTGAAAGCACAAAACATTATGGGAATACAGCAAAATACTAAGATACATCAGTCACTTACATTTGGCTATTCAAACCTTGTCTTCTGATTGCATAATGTAAAGATTTTGCAATGGCCTCTGTTATTTCACAATTAGAATTAAACAGAAGAAAGTGAATAATTGAGTCATCAGAATGCCAACACTTACCATCTAAAAGTGGAGTAATAAAATGAGATCGAATATCCCTATAAAAGGGACAATGCAGTATGGTGTGTGTAGTGGATTCTATATCTTTTAGAGAACAAGGACAAAGTCTGTCTGCATATGGTATCTGGCGGTACCTCTCTAAAAGCACCACCGATGGCAGAACATTAAAGCGTGATATTTCCCCCTCTATGTTGAATAAAATATTTTATTTTTGAACTCTCAAAAACCTCTTTGGTGCCACTTACAGAGGTATAAGTTAAGGAGGTGATCTTGTCTCTTTCCTTAAGTCCCTGGGCTGAGCCAGCATCAAAATATAATAATGTGACAGCGTGGGACAGTCTTAATCCTTCAAATAAGAAGAAAATAGATAAAGAGGCTGCTCAGTCAGAAAGGAAAGAAGACAAAAATGGAGGGAAAATCCTGTGTGTGAGGTAGGCTTGCCAAGTCCCCCCAGGGGGCGGGGAAAACCCCGCCCCAGAGGCCCGTTCCCCGCTGCCGGTGGATCGGGCCCCGGGGGGAACCTTACCCCCAAAGCACGCGACGTGCACGTCACCCGAAAGTGATACGACCACGCTGGGCATGCTGGGGGCGGGGCCACGGTAATCCGAGGGAAAACTCTATGGTTTTCCCTCAGATGGTCGTGCCCCCACCCCCAGCATGCCCGGCATGGTCGTGTCACTTCCAGGTGATGTGGTTGCGGCTCCAGCGTCACTTCAGACTTGGCAACCCTAGTGTGAGGGAGGGAAGAGGGCAAGATAACCACAGCCACCTTTAATTTGGAGGTTCTATCAGAGGGAGCCTTCTGGGTGAATTGCTGACAAATTTTACACCCCAACACATTATGGCCCTCACCCAGGCATATAGCACATGAAATGTGCTCATCTGTTTGTGTCATCTTTGACCTGCATTAGTTACATTTTTAAAATAAGCTCTTCTGTGCCATGAGGCAAGAGAAAACTCCCAACTTAATCAAGGGCTAAAAAAGATGCTATGAACAGCAAACTTTAAAGCTGATGTTCTCCATAATAAGCTTTCTCCTTTAAATCAATGCTGTCTTCTTCTTTTGTAGCTATTAAAGATGACAACACTAGAAGACAACCTACTCCATTGTGGCAAAGAAGAAACGGAGAGAGACAGGGGCGGCATTTCATTGGACTATGTGACCTTTGGGAGGGAAATGGATAAATGCCTCCAACGAGCACGTGGATGCCCCCTAAAGGTTTTAAGCGCATAGGTAAGATCTGCCATTGTGGGTCTGCACATCTGCAGTCCCCAATGTGGGACTGCACCGAAGATGAAGATGAACAGGGAGATTTCAGGTTGGTGGGGAAAAGGCAGCAACCTTCAAGCCTGTGAGGATTTAGGCTAGTATTGCCCAAGGTCTTGCACAGATTTATCTCTGGGTCTCAGAAGACTTGCAACAAGAGGAGAAAACAAAGTCTGCATAGGACTCAATGGGAATAAGGCATGACTGGCCACCTGTGAAAGGATTAAACACAGTGTTTGTTGGAGAAAGGCAAAGGCAACAAGTTGCCAGTCAACCCCAAATCTCTCTCCGCTAAGGCTGCTTTTAGCTGATACATTTTTTAGGGACCTGCCATCATTTATAGAACAATTCTAAGTAGAAGTAAGTGCCATTTTATTCAATGGGGCTTACTCCCATGAAAATGCTTTTAGGATTAGGGTAACATTTTACACAATGGAATTATTCCAACTATAACATGCTTCTATTATTTTGAAAAAATAAACACAAACACACAAATACTTAATATCTTCAGGACATTTCCTAGACATTCAAAGCATGTCATATACCTTATATTAGTGTATACACTATAAATGCAGTATATACTACAACCCCCTAATGGATAGTATGATGACAATAAAGTGGGGAAATGTTAGCAGGCTAAAAGTCAGAATTTGAAGCAGGAATTACATTTGAAAATTAATGCATTTTAAAATCCAGAGAAGAAACCCCCACTCTTGTTAGCACAGGAATATCCTCATGTCCTTGACAGACAACAAAACAGGATAAATGACTTTGATATACTTTAACCAATCACCATTTATGACTGGATTAATTATTAGTAACATAAAACAGACAACATATGGGGAAAAGATGATACACTCTAATGGGTTCCATTAATTACAATTGATATGTGGACCACCAAGTTGTACACATGTGAAAAATTCAGCTGGACACCAGATATGTGTTTTTAGAATGGTGTGATAGAACAGGGTGGGAGGCCATCAGAATCAATGAGCTTATATGTGCTCTTTTGGACTTCCTTCTATTGTCTCTTCATTTGTCACATGGTTGTGACTTTAAATTACTCTTTTTAAAGACACAGGATTCTGCCTTATGAAGCTGAACAGTGATGATGCATCAACTGCATAACATCCCTTCCTTCATAAAGTTTATTATACCATTAATCTCTTTCTCTTGAACTAAATACAGTATATAGAAAAGATAAATCTTTATAGTAGAAATCATTATTTTCATTCATATATTCAAACTTGTATGCTAAACTTTCTGGTGGCATGTCTATAATGGAATAAAAGTCATATTACAGATAGAGCTGGATTTGTGCATAAACGTAGTGAGCTACAGTTGAGGGCCTCAGATTTTAAGGAGCCTCGGAACACCCTGTCCCTAAAAATTACTAAATTACCTTTTTTCTTGGTTAATGCCATGGGCCCTTTTCAATGTGATACAGTTTAGGTCCTCACTGTATCTTAATTCAGCCCTGATACACACGTTTCAATTTTTTCAATTAAAAATCAGTAAAAGAACTTCAACATCTAGGAATTTAAAAGCAACTGCATTCATAAATTATATATTTAAAATATTCTTCTTATTAAAAAAACATTTATACACAACACAACAGATCTAATTCTGCTCAGACAATATATACCCCTAGACTGTTTGAAGTGACTGTGCTTATGTTAGTAATAAGAACACATCTACCAATCATATTTTTATCCTGCCTTTCCTCAAAGGAGCTCAGGGCAGTATACATAATTTTCCTTTTTTCAATTTTTTTCAAAGAGAAAACTGTTTCTCAAACCTGTGAAGGTAATTATGGTTGATAACTATAAAAGAGTATATTAATCTGGCATAGAGACAGAAGATTCACTCTTTATACAAATATCAATTGTGAGCTGCAGTACATTCCAAATAGTTGGGGGCGGGGTAATGATAGTCCTTGAGTATTTTCTCATGAAAATGAAACAATCACCCACTATCCAGAATGCCTTAAACCTAGCTGTTCAATTGATGCTGAAATGGTCTGGGGGTAGATTTTTCCAGCAAAAATAAAAATCAAGGAACAAAGCCACTTTAAGGGTTCCTGATGATTAATATAAAATGTATCTATATCCATAGATATACACACTAACAAAATAATGAAAATTCACATCTGACATTCATACCTAGGAAGTGAAATGAATTCAAAGTGTTTTTTAAAAATATTATTTGTGCTTTTAGTCTTTTAATTTCTGTTGATTTTTTTCATTTAATGATCTAAATAAAACAATCTACTGAGCTGCTAATATCTGTACCACCTACATTTTGAGAAATTATCCTTTTAAAAGTTAACTAACTTTTCAGGAAAATATAAACTGCTTATGGCCAAGCATTCACACATTTTTGGAATAGTATAATTAATTTTATTCAAAAGAATAGTTATTAGCTACAGTATCTTTTAAAAAGTTGACTGTGATATGATGCAAAGGGCTTTTGTTGAAGGTCACTGTACAGTCAGATCACTCTGTATGATTATGTGAATTGTAGCAGTTGGGTGTCACTTTGTGAAAATTTGATATCCTTCAAAATGAATGACATCTATGCACAAATTCCAGTAACATCAATTAATTTAAACAATGCTCAGTGATTCTAAACAAGAGAATGCCTCTTTTCAGATGCAGTTTTGAGACACTGTAACACTGCAGTCCTAAACAGAATTACAGCTTTCAAAATCCACTGAAAATGCGATTCAACTGGAGTAACTCTACATAAGATCCCACCGTTAATCTGTTTCAACTGTACATAAGATTCCACAGTTAATCTGTTTTTACAGACACACTTTGTACTACATATTTTAACAGGAATATTTACTCACCAATTCTTTTAGCTGTAGACTTCTTTGCTTTCATTTTATGTGCTCTCTTTAGCATGAGCTGTGCAGTAGCAAGATCTTTAAATCCCCTAAAACACAGACGATTTTAGACACTGTGAGGATAAAAATTTGCAGCTATTAAACATACCGGCTGGGATTTACAGAACCCTGCTGTGTAGCCCCTGTTCCTTTCACAGACACACAAAGAGTTTGCCAATTTCCCCTTCAGATTGCAGCCACACTGAATATTACTCCTGAGGGTCTTCTCAGGAGCAGATTTTCAGGTAGTTCAAGGGACTGAGTTGGAAAGGGGATCTTTAAGAATCTAGTGTTATGCCATACAGCTCTATGAATTCAAGCCATATTGCATTATATGTACAGTTTTTCACATCATGAAGCCGGCACACTTCTATGAAGTATGTGTGCAAACCTCCACATCATCTTACTGATGTTTCCCCACTGAAATTAACATTATGCACAACTACAGAACATTAATCCTTAAACTGACTGAAGAACAGCTTCTCCTGTTGCCTACACAATTTTTTTCTTCCTAGTTCATAAATGTAGGATGTGAAGCAATCCCATTATCTTTGCAGCAACAGTACATACATTTTCTCATCTACTATGTTAATGCAATTGCTGAAGTCAAGTACTGTGTCCTGTATATTGTCACAGGAAGGTCACAGACCAGGCCCCATCAGCACAAATACTTCGGATAAAGATTGCACCTAAATCTAAACATAAACATCCTGGGGTGTGTGTATATGTATATGTATTACAAGTGTGTGTGTGGTTGTGTGTTTATACACACACACACACACACACACACACACACAAAACCACTTAAAAAGAGCCAACATGGTGTAGTGGTTAGAGTGGACTAGGATCTGGGAGACCCAGGTTAGAATCCCCACTCTGCCACGGAAGCTTGCCGGGTGATCTTAGGCCAGTCACACATGCTCAGCCTAAGCAACCTCACAGGGTCTTTCTGAGAATACAATGGAGGCAGGAAGAATGTTGTAAGCCATTTTGAGTCCCTTTGGGGAGAAAGTGAGGCATATACAAAGCAAAATAAAATGAATTACACAATAAATCAAACAATATACCAAACATACCATTCTGCTGAAATTTGTTCCTCTTTTTCGGATCTTAGCAATGGCTTTGGGGAAGGTTTCAAGTTGGAGAACTGTGAGACAGCGTTCTTTTCTGACCTGAATATGGCAAGCAAATGATACTGAAAGCTAGGCAGTAACAGAAATCAGCTTTTGGTATGCTACAAGTATCTCTGCCTTTCAAACTCAGAAATAAAATATTTCAATACTCCAGGAAAACGTTATCTTGGAGAGTAATAGAAGTCAGACAACGACACAAAATGTTTACATATCAATTACTTGAAGCATATTTCAAGATTTTTCTACAAAGGAATGCAAGGCTGTAGGAAATCCCTTTACCCTTATCTATCACAGATATCTGGATTAAAGGCCTATTTCATTTTTGATGTTTTTTGAAATTTTATGACTTGTGTTTTTAGTTCTTTTATCTTATGTTGATATTTTTATCTTATGTTTATATTTATCTTATGCTGATATTTTTTGTTCATTTAATAAGGAAACCTCACTGAAGAATTACTATTCTGCATTTGATTTGTGCCACTTTGGCAATAAGCACAAGCACTTTAAACTTAATTAATCACATGAATTAAAATAGCAAAGCAGCAATAAGCAGTCCTAATTACTCTCCCAGTGCTTCTTCTGGTTCTTGTCAGTGTGCGGTTAACTACGGACAGCAACATTTAAATACAATTTATTTGATTTACCTGGTACTAATCTGGCTGTTTTCCAACAAAAATGAATTTGGTCTTTCCATAACCTGGCAGGTTTTCTCCATGGGCCATTTCAAACGGTGCAATTGGTCTTCATGTTGAATAAGTTCATTAGACTTGTAAACGGAGGTAGATAAACATTTAAATAAATAAATACATAAATGCTGCTACTTTTGATGGCATATGAAATGCTAAGGGCTGGTGTACATGTTATTTCATTGCTATGTGGTAGCTCTTTCCCAACTGGGAAAAGTGCCATGTCTTAATGGTAAAGCATTTGCTTTTTGAGGTCCTTGATTCAACTGCTGGAATCTCCAGGTGATAAATGCTAGGAAATGCCAGTACTTTCAAATTAGACAGCTGTGATGGACCAATGGTCTGACTTTGTAAGGCAGCTTTATATGTTCACTATATGCAGCTTGCCATGCAAACCTCATGGATCATATGAAGACATGCCGTTGGGAACATTTAGCGCTGGTTAATCAACTCTCCACATGACTTTGTAGGCATATGTGGCAAGTCCTACTAGAAGTTCTTCTGGGACAAGAAGATTCAGAGCTGCACATTTGCTGTCTACATAAGACAACGCGTAGATCAGTAGAACTTACTTTACATAGATGAGGCTCATGGCCAATGAACCAATATCTATAAAAACAGGCAAAAGCCCAGGAAGCATGCTTTAGGTTTTCACTGCAGCTGCCATTTTGCAAAGGCAAGATACATTTTAAGATGAAAAGCCAGCCTTCACTGCAGCATGAGCAGCCGTGGTTGAAACTTCAAAGAAACATCCGGCTAGAGCACAGTTCTCCCCTGTTGCATGCATACCATTTTGTTGGATCACAGCCATGGGCTATAACAGGATGCAGTCATTTGGAAATAATACAGAATGTACATATCCATCCCAGTTTACCTAAGATGTGAGCAGGTTATGACCGCGAAACATTGCAAAATTCAAATTAAGGCTGCAGCATCCTTCATCTTCAGCACAATTATAGGGAATGGAATCTAAGAAATCTCACTGAAATCAGTGAAATGTCCTCCCAAGGAAGCATGCTCAGGGTTTGGTTGCTAGGCATTTGATTTAACTACTCTCATGAGAAAAAAACAAAATACAAACAAAAAGAAATTACATTAAGCACTACTGTCTGCAGTTTATGACCAAATCCTATCTTACTCTAAGCACAAATATTGTTGGGAACACATTGCATATAGCAAAAAGAATTAAACATAACATAAAGAAAGCCGAAACTTCAAAGTTTATCAAATAGCTAACAGACATTACAGTTCAATGCTCTTTCACTCTTCTGAAACTCCTCAGCTGTTGCTTTATAATGCAGCCTTCGGTATTTTTAAAGGACTGTGTCAACTAGCAATTTTTAATCCACTGCCAAATGTGCAGCTGAAGCACATCATCTTCCCCCCCTCCACTTCTTTTCGCTACTGTGAAGTAAAGTGTTGAAAGAATTCCAAAATAAAAGGGGGAGAAATTAAGCAAATGAAAGCAAAGCTACATGAAAAATTACATCTGGGGATGAAGAGGAAGTCAGAGGCTTCTAAAAGCAATTATGTTTTTTCAGTCAATAAATTTCAGTATTAATCAACCCAAGATCCTCCAGGAATGAGCAAAGGCCGAAGAATAGGAAGGTTTCTGTGACATGTTACCTTTGGCGAGGGCAACTGGTCTGAGAACAGCAGTGTTTGTGAAAGGAAACGGGCAGAATTCAAAGCTGGCCATTCTTTCTGTATGACAGCCTGTTTAAAAAAAATCAAGGAAGTCAATAATGCAGGGATAATATCAATTTCATTTCGGTAAGTTGTGTAAAGTGCCATTTCAACAGTTTGCATGCTGCTTTCAGTGTTTCTGTGCTATATATTAGAATTGTCACCTGTAGTGCACCTACACCATGAGGAAAACTTTTGAATTAATTTATATCCTTTTTTCACAATTTAGAAGTAATTCAGTTGGGGGCAATATGGACTACATTCAGTTTAGCTGCTATTTAGTCACCCACAAAGCTAGGATTGTACCCAGAAGCTAGTTCAATCTAAAAATTCAAACTGGATTTTGCAAAACTCAGAATTTATTTTTCTGAGATGGCTATCCCTGTTTTTGGATACCATAAGATAGGTTTTCAGAAATTCTATATTAGTTTAATAACAATTTACATTAAGTAAAAAAGGTACTACCCATTATTTCCCCCCCCCCTTATTAAAAATATATAAGGGCAAGTCATATTATACCTATTTTGAAAGCACTATATTCTGGATGTTGATCAAGAACTAAACTGATTTTAAAAGTGCCCTCTATATTTAAAAAAGCTACTTGGATGATCTCTCTTACTAGAACTCTTAGAATTGGGGGGGGGGGTTGTTGGCATTCTTATTTTTGAAATCACGTCTTACTACCTGAGATTTACAACGGTGAGATTACCACAATTATTGGTTTTGAAAGTCGCCTGTGACTGATATGAACTGAGAGAATTTTGAATTTTTTAAATCTAAAAAATTTAGATAGAATCGGTTCATCTTATCCTTCTATTAGTTGTGTCATTTTCCCTGTACTCCATTTTCAGTTTAATAATATGAAGAACATTTCCTTGGTATTTTTTTGTTAAACACAATTCAAAACACGAAGGAAAAAAAGTGTTAATATGTATGTGTGTGTAGTTCTGTGGACTGGCTTACCCTAATTTTCTGAGCCTAGCTCAGCACAGAAGATATATGGTATTTTTCTTGGAATCTGATATACATACGTGTGTGTGTGTGTGTTAGCTATTATAAAACAAATCAGCTTTTATTTTTAGCACAAAATCAATTTAAATCTACCACAAGCAAAATTTCACAGTACTTTTACCCAAAGGAATAAAAGTGATTCTCCGGTGAGACTGCATGAAGAAAACTACTTAACAATGACATACACATGGATTTATGTACACAGTTCCTGCTCCAGTCCATTTAATGGTATTTATAGGAAAGTTATAAGATCTTAGCTACACTGATGGCTCCTTTTTGCAAATCAGGAAAGTTGATGTTGACACAACTAGCACATACTTGGCATAAGGTTGTCCAAGCACTGTAGTAAGAAAATGACACAAATTTCTTGACTCTTTAGAAGCAGCTAAAATAAAGCCCCCAGGCTCTATGCTGGAAAAGATTAACTAGATCCCAGTTTACCTCATCTTGTGTATAAAGACATCATAAACACCATGATATATTTTTTAAAAAGTGTAGAGATTATGATGGATCTACAAGAGGGCTAAGTGCTCTGTAATTGATGGCAGACGACTGCATGGAGAAAGTTAACAAGAGAACATTATACTGAATAGGGATTCAGAGTCTGAAATCATAGGTGTACAAAAAGGGATAAACAATTCCAGAAACAACCCTTCATAGTACTTAAAATACACTATTATCTTAGGGACTCATTAGATATTACAGTAGTGGTAGTGGAACAATTTTTCCATGGGCTCATTCCGTGGTGTACTGCAATGTTCCAATGCCTGCCGCTATGCAGATGAGCCAGTTATGTTGCCTGGTCTTTGCTCCTGGTCCTATCTGAGTGATGGTACTATGGGCTGTGCAAATGGCAACACCTAAATGGTGGTAGCCATTCAAACATTACAGCAGACGTATGGAAGGAACCTGTGGAAAAGTAGCTGTAACTGCTGGCAGGATGGTAGGAAGACATTCTGAAGTAAGGAAAAGAGAGATGTCAAAATAATAATTGCTGTAGCATCAGCACTGGTAAAAACACTTCTGAATTGAACAAGTAAAATGTCCAAGTGAAGGGATTTTATAAAACATCAAGTGTCCAATGCTTTTAATTCCTCTCCTTTATCTGATATTATGACATAGAAGGGTGATGTCTAAGAAAAAGGTTTACCATCTGCTGTTTAAAAACAATTCTAGAAATTAAAAAAAGAAGCCATCCCACTGTTGACCCCCCCAGCACCAAAGGCTCACAATATCTAAGACAAAACATCAATGCCAAAAAATCACAACACATAAAATACAGCATAATAAAATCATAAATATTTTAAAAGCAGGATTAAGGGAGTCTTTAAAAATCTATAACCTATTATCTCAAATAACAAGTAAGGGAAAAACCACTTCAGGAAAACTAAAAGGCTTCACCTGGTGCCTAAAAGAATAGAGTCAGTGCTGGGGGGGCTTTATGGGGAGGGAGTTACACTGCATGGGAGACACCACTGAGAAAGCACTGATCCTAGGGCAGATCCATCTAATCTGTAGGACACACAGAGCTGGGTCTTCAATCATGATCTCAGCTGATCAACAGGTACAAACAGGAGAATATGGTTCAGGCCAGGCCATGTAAGACCTTATAGGTCAACACCAGTACTTTGAATGTTATCTGGAAGCAAACCAGAAGCCCGTAAACCAGTGAGATGTGATTCCTGCAGTATCTGCTAACAGCCTATCTGCCACAGTCTGAATAGATGAAGTTTCTGAACTGTCTTTATAAGCAGCATTTTGTATAGCACTTTGAACATGGTGAACTTTTGGCCATGGTGAACTTTTGTCTCTCAGCATAGGGCCACAGCTGGCAAACTATCTTAAGCTGGTAAAAGATGTTATGTGACATAGTGAAGATATGCACCTCCACTGAATAAAAAAGCACCCCCAGACTATGATCTTATTTTTAAGGGAAGTGTAACGTCATCTATATCCGGCAGACTGCAAATCTTTGATGACTTTGTTATCAACCAAAATACTTTTGGACTGAGCTTTAGTTTATTAGCTCTCATACAGCCCTTTACTGGCTCCATGCATTACTTCAAGGCATCCAACTGTTTTATTAAATTCAGCTGAAAAGGAAAATCTAAGCTGGGTATCATTCACATGATGATGACACCTCAGACCAAACCTCTACATGACATCTCTTAGATGTTTCACATAGATGTTAAACAGCATAGGGGACAAAAAAGAGATTAGTAGGACCCCATATTTCAAATGCCAGGGGTCAAACATTCATCCTCCAGTACCACCTTCTGAAACTGAATTAAGCCCCCAGTGCTTGGTACCCTCGATAACCACCTCAGGCAGCTGGGCCAGAATAATACCATGGTTGATGGCACTCAAACTGGCCCAGTGGGCCAGGCATATCAACAAAGTCACACTTCCTCTGTAAAGATTGTCAGTCAGGGTAGTCAAAACAGTATTTAGCCCAAAACCAGGTCTGAAACTGAACTACACAAATCCAGTTAATTAGTTGTTTTTTTTTAGAGCCAGGTGTTATATGGCCACTACCTGCTTGACCACTTAGCGCCAAAGGGGCTATTTTGGTCAATAGTTGCTTAAAACCTCTGGTTTTAAGAAGGCTTTATCAAGAAAAGGTTTCATAACTGCATCCTGCAAAACATCCAAAATGGCTCCCTCCCCTCTACCACTTCAACAACCCAACCATTCAGTCCTCTTTGGCTAACTACTTTAAGCCAAGATGGGCAAGAGTTGAGAATGGATGTGGTAGACAGTGTTCCCTCTAAGCTGAGTTAGTGTGAGCTAGCTCACAGTTTTTTAGCCTCTGGCTCACACATTTCTGTCTCAGCTCAGGAAGGATGGCGCCAGAGCAAACTAATTTATGCAGCAGCCAAGTCGCTCGCTCACAACTTTAATTGCAGTAGCTCAGAAAGTAAGAATTTTTGCTCACAAGACTCCACGGCTTAGAGGGAACATTGGTGGTAGAATATATTCTCCCAAGCAGGGTTCTGTGTATTGTCACCTTGGTTTTCCCCTCATCCCTCCATGCACAGTGACCACTTTTCTTCATTTTAAATTCTCTTTAGAAGCCTAAAACTTGTTAAAATAAAACAAAACTGACCACAAAATAAATGGCTATGTAAACATTACTTTGGCTATGTGAGTATATTTTGGTGGTTTATTTATTCATTCACATTTATAGCGCGCCCTTCCCAGAAGCAGGCTCAGGGCGGGTAACAACATCATTTATACAAAAAAATTGTTAATAAAATAACATTAAAAGTTAAAACATATTCATAAATATTAAAACGGTGATCACAGCTAATAACAAAAAAAATTTCCCTGGCTGTGGGAGGTTCCTGGTAATAGCCAGTAGTTGTTAACAGAGTGACCCCAACTACCTCAGGGAAGCCATATATGGATGTCCGTTGCCTCAGCCAAAGACCTGGCAAAACAGCTCCGTCTTGCAGGCACTATGTAACTGAAGTAAATCCCACAGGGGCCTGATCTCAATGGGGAGCATGTTCCACCAGGCAGGGGGCAGGGTGGAAAAAACCCTGGCCCTGGTCAAGGCAAGACAGATGTCTTTTGGGCCAGAGACTACCAGGAGATATTGATCCTTAGAGTGTAATGCTCTTTGGGGCATATATAGGAAGAGGTGGTCCTTCAGATATGTTGGTCCCAGGCCGTGTAAGGCTTTAAAGGTTATTACTAACATCTTGAAGTCGATCCAGAATTCTACTGGTAACCAATGCAATTGGCAGAGTACCTGCCAAACGTGAGCCCGCATAGGCATGCCACTACATTTTGCACCAGCTGTAATTTCCGGGTCAGCCTCAAGGGTAAGCCTGCGTTGAGCAAATTACAGTAGTCAAGCCTGGAAGTGACCATTGCATGGGTCACTGTGGCCAAGTCTCGGGGGGAAAGATAGGGTTTCAGCAACCTAATCTGCTGAAGATGGGAAAAGGCAGATCAGGGGGCTACAGTAACCTAGACCTCAATAGAAAGAGAGGCACCCAGTGTCACTCCCAGGC